CTAAAAATAGATATAAATAACTACTGTACCAATCCTAGTATTTTATTTACTGTATACACAATATCATTCGCTTGTGGCAGAGATGCATTTTCTAATGTTCTGGCATAGGGCATAGGTGAATCAACACCTGTAACGCGCATTACTGGTGCATCAAGATGATAGAAAGCTTCACCTAAAAAAAACAAATATAAAATATAAAATATAAAATGTAAAATATAAACGTTATTCTTGCATGATTAAATTTTTTATGTAAAACGAATTAGGAAAACTTACTTTCCGAAATCCTAGCACTAATTTCCGCACCGATACCACATTGCGGCCAACCTTGTTCCACAGTTACAACATAATTCGTTTTCACTACCGATTGTATAATAGTATCTATATCTAAAGGTCTTAAAGATCTAAGGTTTATTACTTCTGCTTCTATTCCTTTCCCTGCAAGTTCATTCGCTGCTTGAAGAGCTTGTTCAACTGCTTTGGAATGTGCCACTAATGTAACGTGTTTGCCAACACGTTCAATCTTTGCTTTACCAATTGGCAAAATAAAATCTTTTGATAAAGCTTCGTCAGACATAGGGTATTGAACACCATATAATATTTCATTTTCTAACACAACAACTGGATCAGGATCTCGAATGGCAGCTTTTAATAATCCTTTTGCATCTTCGCTAGTATAGGGTGATACTACTTTTAAACCAGGACAATGACTATACCAAGCACCAAAACACTGTGAATGTTGTGCTGCCACTCCGGCTGCTGCCCCATTAGGTCCACGAAAAACAACTGGTACATTTACTCGTCCAGCGGACATATAAAATGTCTTTGCGGCAGAATTAATAATTTGATCGATTGCTTGCATAGAAAAATTGAATGTCATAAATTCACATACAGGACGTAAACCAGCCTAGAATATTTAATTGTATAACAAGTGTTAGTATTATTAATAAAAAGAAAAAGAGAAATGAAATGATTTATGAAAGAAATTAATGATATATACCATAGCTGCTCCAACAGCTATACCAGCAAATCCTGCTTCCGTGATAGGAGTATCAATAACACGTTTATCTCCATATTTTTTCCAGAGGCCCCTAGAAACTTTATAGGCTCCATCATACAATGCCACTTCTTCTCCGAGTAAAAATACTCTTTCGTCTCTTTCCATTTCTTCATCCAAGGCTGAATTTAAAGCATCTCGTACCGTCATCTATATCGAAATTATATAAATTAAGTAGAAAAAAAAAATAGTTAAAAAATATAATTAAGAAGCTTTACTTTTTTTCTTATAACAATTGACAATCATTACAAATAACAGTACATACACAACATGAATCGAATATCATAAGTTTTAATACATAATTTATCATCGAATAATTGATCTCGAATATGGATGACCTTTATCGTCCTTCAACATATAATAATCAGATTGCATGATTTATTATAAATAATTATAATAAATTAGATAAAATCTTTCGTAATGCAACGAATAACTATGTCTTTTACAAATGTTAAGTCTATTAAAGAATAAGAAAACCAATGGCGCGAGTATGATCGTGTCAAAGCAAAAATAGGTTATATTCGAACAAACGCAAGTAGAGAAAAGAATATTTGAATAATAGTCATTGTTAATCCTACCTGCTGCACGGCATTCCATTTTGACGTTGAAAATGAACGTCGGATAACTCTCGTTACAATTGACTAAAAATAATAAATAATCAAAAATATGAATTTTTCATTTTGTTCTCAAACTATGAGCATGTCATATATTTTTTAAGATTTAAACTCAAGTTTACTCTTTGATCTAACATATATTTACCGAAAACATTGTAGCCGTCAAAAAATTGATAATAATTGATTAAATTTTAGATCGTTTCTATCGATTTAACTATTCTATAAGTCGTTATTCACATGAGTCGCCAGGGCCTCTGGTTCGTGACTCCGTCTTTACCATAAATCGAAATGCGGAACGGTACCAGAGCAGCTCAAGGTCAATAGGCAAACTCTTATGAAACCAATTTGCTATGATTTATACGATGATTTATAATATATAATCGAAGGATAGATTATCAATGATGTAATTATTTTGTATTTTAACTATTTTTGACACTTTTTCTTTAAGTTTTTTGTGAAATTATTAAAAAAATGTAAATATATTATTTAATTAATAACGATTACAATGATGACGACAATAAATAGGAAGCGCCACTTTTTCTGACCAATGATAAACCGTGGAGATTATGATCTGACCAATCACAGCTAATGAAGTAGTATTTTTTTTCTATTGAAGAACACGAGTAAATTCGCGGTTAATTTGGAATACGACAAAACATATAAGTAAAGTAATAATGAATATAGCACGAATATAAAATTAAAAACAGAAATTATTGCTTTTAATTTTAATTATTTGAATATAAATTATTCAAAATTATTTTTAATTATTCAAAATTTATATCCAAAGATGAGAATAAATTTATTTTTCTTATTTCTTTTTTATTATTTATTTCGATTATTTAGACTCTTAAATTTTAATTATTTTCTAAAACATATAAATACATATAAATATATACATATATATGTATATAAATGTATAACGTGTATTTGTACATACGTATAATATGTATATTATATATACTTATATATAGAATATATAGTGTTGTTCATTTTGCGATTATTTATTGTCAATTTCGGTTATAGATAAAAAGAAGAAAGAAAAAAAAAAAGCGAAATAGGAAAAATGAATTAATAATTAGATTGTTGAAAATTATATTACATTATTATGCAATAATATTAGTTAATAGCGCTTACGAACATCATGTTGTTTTATATATATGTATACGTGCAACGTACGTTTGTTTCTTTGTTGATTTGTCGCACGATGTCGCGAATGAATAAAAAAAAGATTAAAGAATTTTGATAGTTATAAAAATATATAAATTTTGCGAACAATGTTTATGCGAATTGAAAATATGATTGAGAGATGAAAATAAATATTAAAAAAATATATATATATAATATATACATAATATATTGAAATTAGCACGTGGAAATGTTACATATTAATTTTATTTTTATAGAAAATATCGATCGATGAAAAATTTATGATTAATTAAATCGATAATCGGATTAATTTTATTCTCGAACGAAATAAAAATTGAATTACGAATCCTTAGATCAAGGAGACAAAATACCAACATTAGCACATTGTTTATTTACAAAAAGTAATCATTCATGGTACAATGACAATGCTATGTGAAAATGCGTGTTGCGTGCATGAAGATTGCCTTTATAGAAAATGTATATTAACATATATATATACACATACATATATAGATATATGTTAATATTCATACAAGAATATTGTATGCGAAGATATTGTGCATCGTGATTGTATTTAGAATCTCGCGTTCCAAATGTACGTAATATTAATTTGCTGGAATTAACGGAGGATAAGAATGTTTCGTGAAACGTAATATACGAATGAATGACAAATATGACTCTCCGTGCATCGATATTTCGAGGAGGAAATTAAGTTTGGGTATACGTTCTAGACCGTGATATTATTCTTTGTCGGATTTTTTATTAACGAGAGAACAACAATTTCATAGAAGTTTAATCGAATAAAATACTAACTAGGATAAAAGATCATCTATTTTAATTAATAAAATCACGATAACGCAATCGAGATCAAGTAAGATAACAAAGAGAGGATCGAAAAGTATTAGGATTTCGTAATTAATTCCTTTACTTTGTAATTGTAAAAGTAATTTATCTGTAAAATCGATATTTTGCTGAATATGTGTATGTCTGTATGTATACGTACGTTATATATAGCTGTAAAATAGAATAGAATAGAAAAAGTAAAACGGGAAGAAAGAATAAAAAAAAAAAAAGAAAGAAAAAATGGATAGAAGAAGGAATGGAAGGATGAAGAAAAGATCGAAATGACTAGCGTATATAATACTGGGTTCGGAGCAAAAAGAGATCGTTTTTTGATCGTCCTAGTCTAATTAGCCGTAGATAACAGGAGAATCATCGATAGTAAGAATGACAATGATCATAAATAATCGTAGTACCGTTAGCATCGGCTGTAAGTATGTTACAACTTGAGTTAACTTGATTTTTAAAAATGTTCACTACTCTCGATTGTACGTTCGTTTTTCAATGTATCCGAGTTCCGATACAAATACCCGTCTCGTTGCGCATTTTTGACATTTAAAAAAATATATCGGTGACCATATTTTGACAAAATGTATAAAAATTATAATCGCCATGATTTTATTAAATCATAAAGTTAATTCGTTTGAATTGGAAATATCGAATCGTTATTTGTTACGCACGTTCATTTCGAAATGATTGATCGCTGTATTTATACTCATGATAAACGATCGCAACGAAGCGAAGTGAACCATATTTAAAGAGAGATTGAATTTTTCGATCGAATTTTGATTTAATCGTATAAGTGATAATTTATCGAAATTGTTACAATACCAATTACTATATTGCCAATTGATATATGAAACATATATTTAGCTAACGATCTACGGGTATCGATACGAGAGAATACGTAAGGCATCTCTGATAAGAAATAGTAAGAGATAATTGTAACGCGTTATCGCGTCAAGAGATTCAGATACCGAAATAATAATCTAGGAAATTTGTTTACACGAAAGAGAATCGAACAATAGAGTTGTATGTTTTATCGGTGACACGGTTAAAAACGCTTGAGCACGGGCGCATGCCTGGTTCGGCGTACGTGTCATACGATTGGACGCATTAAGCGATGCTTATAAACATCATTTCAACGCGCTAATTTACACGATATAAAAATCTCCTTTTGTCTGTATCGTTTTGTCTCGCTAATATACATATATTGTATATATATATATGTACATTTTTTATATATATATACAATATATATATACATATATACACACACAAATAAACATCTATCAATAACTGTTCTTGAATGCAGCACGCATTCTCCTCGAGTAAGGTATATGTATTTAAATAGAGCTATCGCATTTCGTTCATCAACGTTTCTCTATTTAATGACTAACGTTTGTTTCCTCGTGCGTTGAACGGGAACGAAACGATTAAACGTATAAATGTATATGCATTTGTTCCATGCACATTGGAAATGGCCAAAGTACACATCGATCGGAAGACACACATCGAAATCTTTTATAAACAATTATTTTTTAATACTTTTAGTTGTACGTACGTACGTACGTTCGTTCGTTCGTTCGTTCGTTCGTTCGTTCGTTCGTTCGTTTGTTCGACGATTCGATACATTCTCTATTTTATACGTAACTTTGAATTTTATTTTCGTATATCATTGAGATTATATATTAATATCAATATGCGAACAATTTGAGGTAGACAAAATATTTCGAGGCGTCAACGATCGTTTGATTTCGTATTTAAATATTTAATATTTACGAAAAAAAAATCATGACTGCGTTCTTTTTATACATCGAACAAATTCATATAATACAATATATATATATATAAAGATCAAACGTTAATTTTGAATCGTCGTAATAACAAACGAAACTTAGAAACAAGTATTCGTTGACAAGTTTTCGTTTATAGATGTTAAATGCTTTATATAATATATGCATACTACATCAGAAAAATAATAATCGAATAACATTAGATATTCCTGTGATAAAGATATTAATACAACGGATAAAAAAGAAGAATGTAGATAGAAGAATGAAGAGAGAGAGAGAAAACGAAATTTAACATAATAAATAAATACGATTAATGAATATTGTATAGTAAAACTTTTTCTCGCACGATATATATATGAAATTCTCGTTCAATCAAGATGAACGATTTCTGTATATTAATCGTTTGGAGAAAATATTTTCGAAGTAGATGTTAAATTAATAATTAAAAGCATAACAGATGGATCGATAGATTTGCCGCACAAACGAGGTATATTATTTCTATAAAAGTTTGATCAAAAGATATATAAGTAGAAAGTACATATTTATCGATGCACAGATGGAGAAAGACAAAGGAAAAGACCTTTCGACGTTACACCGATCGCGTTCGCACTCGTTCTCACGTTACTTGTTTACATTTTGACCAAAACGAGGTAAGAAATCGATAAAGATTCGAGATAAAAAGCGTGATGCTTTCGTTTCGGGACACGAACAATCGAACGTAATCGAACAACGAAACGAAGTTTTGTCGAAAAGTCTATATAGAATTCGTGAAATCTAACCGATAAGGGTTGTCCTTTCGATCGATTGTAACGAATGACGATTCTTCTTCGAAGAATGCTTTAATTCGAACAAATTTCTAAAGTGTACTATGGACAATCCTGCTGTCGAAACTTTTGTTCTGTTTATATACATATTTATAGACGAAACAATCTATTAGTTCGATATAATGTTATCATGAACAAATGTTAAAAGTAATAATAATCGTAATAATCGATTATGATTGAACGATAATAATGATAATAAGGACAAAGATGAGAATAACATAGAATAATAATAATAATAATAATAATAATAATAATAATAATAATAATAATAATAATAATAATCAGTATCGTCGTAAAAATTATAATTTAAATATGATAATAGTACGAACAAGAGAAAGAAAAAGGGATAAAAGATCGAGGAGGGAAAGAAAATGAAGAAGAAATAGAAAATAGGAACGAGAATATGATAATATTGAATAATAAGGTAAAAATGATAAAAGATAAAAATGAGAAAAAGATAAGCGATAATAAAATAGTAATAAAATAATATAAAAAGAATGATCAAAACCAGCTAGGTCCACCAAATTTTGTCGAAAAGCCACCAATGCCCTTGCCAAACATGCTCCCAACTTTTTCAACAACGTTCGAAGTAACGTTGCTGATAATATTCGCGTCCTCGCTGTTGACCGTTTCCACGACCGTTACCTTTGGTTTTGGTCGTTCTACCTCGTCATCGTTACCGTTCTCCGAAAGACCTCTATGGAATAAGAAAGATGGAAAAAGAAACGTGTATCTTTGTTCTCGGTAGGTAAAAAGAAGATAGAAAAAAAAAAAAAAAAAGGCAACGTAAAGTAAAAAAAAAGTACTCACTCTTCGTTCTGAACGCTCGTTAAGGCACAAGACGCTTCTTCCGTTTGCATCCTCTTAGATATAGTCTGATATGTCGTCGAATTGAGTTTTTCCTCTATAACACCTTGTAACTCAAAGTCCGAGTAAATTTTTTTTACGATATGGGCCAAACAGGTACATTGATATAGATGTAAGCTATGGTCGAGTCTTTCCGAGAGCCACGTGCACAGCATTTGAATTTGCGCCGTGTACCATTGCTAGAGTGAAGAGAAAAAAAGTAAAGAGAATTAAGAAGAAAGAAGAAAGAAGAAAGAAGAAAGAGGGGAGGGGAGGAAGGAGGGGAGAGAAACTTAACGGTCTTTTTTGCGAACATAGAAAGAACGTAGAATAACATAACGTGGTAATAATTTTTATTACCTCGAAGAACGTTAAAATCCATAATTCGTCCAAGACTTTGCCACGAATTTGATCCATACAATTCCTCGTAAAGCTTACGTAGGCCTGTCCCATTTCTTTCCCACTTCCCGATACCTTCTAAAAGAAAATTTTGTAAGCGGCTCGATCATCTGGATGGTTGGTAAAAATAAGCATGAAACAAAAAAAAAAAATACCGTCAAACTGAGAATGGAACCTATGAAGGATCCCTCGTCGTAACGGGACAATTTGGATAAGGTCGTCTCCAATACCGTGACCAGTTTGTTGATCATTCCTTGGGTCATAGCAGCCGAAGTTTTCTCTATCAAATCGTCGATTTTCGCGTGATATTGGTGCTGAAAATAAATTAAGGATCGAGAATAATAAAGAATGATAAAGAGGATAAATCGGAATAATCGGACGGAGAGAAACGAAGAGAACGTTACCACGTCGACGCCATCGATGGTGCACAGTTCGAAACTTTGGTTTTTCGCGTCGAGAATAACGTTTACCATCGCGCACATTTCCGACGGTATGATGTAATCGGTCGAGATAAAAGTCACGCCTTTCTTCAGCCACTGTTGAAACGCGGCATCCGTTCGTTGAATGCAAGTTTCGATCATATCACAAGCCATTAACGTTAATCTTTGCTCTAGATGCTGGCGAAATTCTTGATCTGGCCAATGAAGATCGCGGATGAAAGATTGAAGGGCGTCCAATTTCCAAAATAATTCGCCGGAAGTCGCGCACCCGTTTCCCTTTATCTCCCAACGCTCCTTCTCGAAACCTTTATAAATCGATTGTGCGATCGAGGTTTCCATCAAATCCACGTAACGCACCACCATCGGAGAAAAAGTATCGCGAAGATGCTGGTGAAATCTACCGTTCTTCAAATTATCTACGAATAAGAAATAAATATTTTTCTTCTTCTCTTTTAACGAGATTCAAAAGGAATAACGACAATAGAAAAAAGAAAGAAAGAAAAGACACATATAAGAATAATATTATTAAAATTTTATTAAAAAGGAAAAGAATATTAAAAAAAAAAAAAAAA